GCATATTAGGCCACACCCCTGACAGCACAGCTCATTGGCATATTAGGCCGCACCCCCGTGTTACCAGAAGTGTGGTCATCCAGCCACACCCACCCTTTGCTTCTTATTCTGTTTACCTTGTTTGTTGTCCAAACCCAGGGCCTTTTTTTGTGGCAGGAACTCCTTTGCATATTAGGCCACACACCCCTTATGTAGCCAGTCCTAATGCGTTTCTGCTGTTGGGTGTGGCCTATTATGCTAATGAGTTCCTGCTGGGCGGGGCTAACTCAGGAGCCAGCCGGAACTCCGTTCCTGTGCGTTCCTGCCCCAAAATAGCCCTGCTCCAGAGGAATTTGACCCGCAGTTGCACGATCACACCTCCCTTTGAAGCTGCGGGCGCAGTCCGTCAGTGTGCGATCAGACGCAACTGCCGGTGAGTCGCGGGATTTTTTGGTGTTGTTTTTCCCCATGCACTTAAGCGGGGGATCAATGAATCGCACCTCCGCACCGAGGGCTCCCTGTGGAGTTTGCGATGATGTGCATACTGCAAAGGGGGGGAAAACAATGGCATGGAGTCAGGATGGCCTGATCAGACCCATTCCGACGCCATGAGAGCGCGCTGGAGTGATCAGGCACGGGAAAGTCCATCCGTGGCCCATCACAACCCATTTACAACCGGGTTTTCCCTGGTGTCTTTTAACTCCACTTCTGCGGCAGAGCAGAAAGGGTTGCCAACAGCTGTGGGGCGCTTCCCAGATGTTGTCTGATCGCACCCTTTAAATCCGCCTGGCATCTGCACCTATGTCAGGTCTAATTGTGCGTATGATCACAGCCTTGGAGAGTCAAAGTTCCTTTTGTCAGATCCGATGGATCTGAAGAAGGGAACTTTGCCTCGTCAGAACATAAACCCTCAAATTATTTTGGGTCTCAAAGTTGTTACTGGACTCCCATCTATCTTGCTCTACTGCAGACCAACATGGCTACCCTCTCAAACAAGCGTCCAGTGGCATCTGAAAGACTAACATTGGCCCCGGTCACACAGGAGGTTTTGGGCCGGAAGAGAGATGGATTGGGGGTGCAGCAAACGGGCGCGAGCACACCGCAACATCTGGGAATCGGCGTGCACCCGTCCCCGATCTGTCCCTTCCAGCCTAAAACCCGCTGCAAAAAAAAACCCAAGTCCCCCCCCCCGGCATCTGATCGTGCTGGGGAGCAACTGCGCGGCGGCTCAGGGGATCTATCTGATCCCGCCGCCGCGTGTCTCTTTTGGTGCGGCTTTAAAAAGCCGCACTTCGGCTGTTCTTTTTTCCCCATGTGGCAAGGGTCATTTTTTTTCAATGCGATTGTGAACTTCCATGAGTCAGAGCTCACTATTCAAATAGATATGTGATGGCAAGGCATAGCTGAAGAAGCTCATAGGAAAGGCTGCCAACTTCCGTTTGGAAAATTCCTGGAGATTTGGGGGTAGTGTCTGGGAAGGAAGCTCAGCAGGGACATCATTCCACAGAGTCCAGCTTATGAAGCTGCCACTTTCTCCAGGGGAACTGATCTCTGTAGTGTGGAGATCAATTGTAATTCCAGGAGAACTCCGGGCCTCACTTGGAGGTTGGCAACCCTATTAAGTCAATACATGTTGTTAGTTTTTGAGCTGCCGCTACCCCTTTGCAGGCCGTAGAGAAGCCTCTTTCCCACACAAAGGCCTGAGGCCTTGCTTTAAATTTTCCCTCCAATTTCACTGGCCCAGACCTGAGCTTGAAGGAGACTGGGGGAAAGTAGAAGGGAAAACTTACAGCAGGGCTCCTTTGCTTGACTACTGGAGGGCTGCTGGGAACAGGAGAAAAAGGAAGCACGTAGAGGCTGAAGCTCCTTAGAAGGGACTCCTTTCCCTTCACAAAGCCCAACATGGCCCCAGCTTTCCTTGACAAGGTTGTTCTGATTAATATTTTGGCAGAGGAAGGAAAAGTTCACTCTATCCACTCTGTGTACCCCATGTAGTAAATGTAGTAAACCACTATCATGTTCACCCTTAGTCATCTTTTCTCTAGAATAAAAAGCCCCAAAGTCTTTAGGTTTTCCTCAAAAGGATTCCAATCACCTTGGTTGCCCTCTTTTGCAGTTTTGTCCAGCTCTACGATATAGAGATACAGTGACCAGAACTGTCAATAGTATTTCAAATGCAGCTACAATCATAGGCCTATAAAAAGGCTGTCTGTTTTATTTTCAATTTCTGTCCTTGGACTGACATGAAATTCCATTCACGAATCTGTCTTGCTTCTAAATTGGAGGATCCCCCCTACTTTAAGGTTACTGACCTTCTTTTGCATGTTGAAATTTGATATTCTTACACTGACTTTAACCAATCCCAGAACCTTCCTTAATCGCAACCCATGTAAGCCATCCAAGCAGCTGACCCTACCTGATGAAAGCAAACTTGGTTGGCAGGACAACTCTGGAAGCCAATTAAAAAGAAACTTTACGGAGCCTCAGCTGCTAGATCAAATGTGACCTTCAGGGAGCCGTGTGTCTCCGATGTTGTTTAACATCTACATGCGCCCCCTTGCCCAGATTGCCCGGAGGTGTGGGCTTGGGTGTCATCAATATGCCGATGACACCCAGCTCTATCTGATGCTGGGCGGCCAGTCGGACTCCACTCCCGATGACTTAGCGCGGGCGTTGCAGGCCGTGGCTGGTTGGCTCAGACTGAGTCAGCTGAAACTAAACCCGGCAAAGAAAGACGGAGGTCCTGGGCCTGTGTCGGAGCGGTTATGAGTTGGGGCACCCTCTCCCGGCCTTTGGCGGGGTACCTTTGGTGCCCATGCGGGAGGTCAGGAGTTTGGGTGCACTCCTGGACTCCTCGTTAACGATGGAGGCCCAGGTAGCGGCCACTGCCAAGTCAGCCTTTTATTATCTGCGGCTGGCGCGGCAGTTGGCTCCTTATCTCGACCGTAATGACCTGGCCACTGTGATCCATGCGACGGTCACCTCGAGGCTGGACTACGGTAACGCTCTCTACTTAGGGCTGCCTCTGTCGCAAATCCGGAAGCTGCAGCTAGTGCAGAATGCTGCAGCCAGGCTGTTGATGGGTCTTTCCAGGCGAGACCACATCCGGCCTGTGCTGCAAGCGCTGCACTGGCTGCCTATAGCATACCGGATTCGCTTCAAAGTGCTGGTACTTACCTTTAAAGCCCTGAATGGCCTGGGTCCTGCCTATCTAAGGGACCGTCTCTTCCCATACGTTCCCTCAAGAGCACTGAGATTGGGGATGTTTCATCGTCTGGTAGTTCCAGCCCCCCGAGCTGTGAGGTTGGCGCATACGAGATCCAGGGCGTTTTCGGTGGCGGCTCCTTCCTGGTGGAAAGAGCTCCCGAAGGAGATCCGGGCCCTGCGGGACCTAGTGCAGTTCCGCAGGGCCTGCAAGACGGAGCTCTTCCACCAGGCCTTTGGGTAGGAGCCGCCGCCATTACGATCGTTACGCCATTACCATCGCTGCGCCACCTCCGCAGCCTGTCCATCTACCAGACCTATGGAGGTTGACTGGTCTGTTACATCGGGACGCTTTTATTATTAAGACCTTGGCTGCATACAAGTCGCAGAGCTTTTTGTAAACTGTATAGATTATATAGATTGGAGCACCAGTTTTATTGTGTGTAAAATTGTTTTTACTGTTTTATTATTTATATCTTGTTGTTAGCCGCCCTGAGCCACCGGGTAGGGGGGGATAGAAATCCCAAAATAAATAAATAAATAAATAAATAAATGTGCTGTGCAAAAGAATTCAGTGGTTTCATGGCTGCTGCAAGCAGATGTTTAGATGAATGACAGTTTCAGGCTACTAGGTTGCATTATGTACATTAATACCTTGGAAAGAGAGGAAAATTAAAGCTGCTCTAGGTGTAGGAATGGATTACCAGCCCTGGGTTGGGAAATGCCTGGAGATTTTTGGGTTGAAGCCTGGAGAGGGCAGGGTTTGGGGAAGTGAAGGACCTCAGCATGGTACACCTTCCAGGGGAACTGATCTCTCTTGTCTGGAGATTAGTTATGAAAGTGGGAGATCTCCAGGCCCCACCTGGAGGTTGGAAACCCTATGCAGATGAGAGGGGCACACCAATTTATATGTGTGTCCAGGAGTTGTTTCGTAGAAAAAGAGCTAGGGGAACTCATTAGCATATGCCACACCCCCTGACATCATAAGGCCGGGCGGTGGACCTGCAAGGCCGGCGGGAGTGCAAGGAAGCCCCGCCAAGGCCCTCCCTGGCCCCAGGCAAGCAGGGGTGGGGAGAGGCAGGGAGGAAGCAACTTACCCTCCCTCTTCTCCTGCCTCCTCCTGGTTGAATGAGGGCCGGAAGCGGGGCGGCCGGAAGCAGGGGGCAGGGCTTTGTCGTGTGCCCCGCCCCCCACCTCACCCGGGGGAACTGCGATCCCCCGCAATCCCCCCCCCGAATCGACCTCTGTGTGTGTCCATTCAAGACAGCAATACGGGTTTATTTTTTAACAAAGACAGCTTGAGCAAGGGGAGCTAAACTTTGTTCCTTTTCCCAACCTTCCTTCCCGTGCTCCATTCCTGGATGCATTTTTTCACCCCTCCTGGCTCTCTTCTGGCACAGGAGTCGATGAAAAACCCTTCAAGTAACAACTGTGAAGTCCAGTGTGGCAGGGGCACCCCTTGACCACAACTCTGTGTAAAGACCCTTCCTCCACATCCTGCCACATCTGGGTTGGTCCCCAGTCACTACCCTGACAGTCATCTGAGCCTGTCACATTAAACTGGCATGAAAATATCTTGCTGACATTCCGATTATGTCTAGTTGCATTTGAATACATTTTTTAAAAATGTCTTGCTGGCATTCCAAGTACGCATAGTTGCATTTTAGTAATTCTTTAAATTTCTGGCTGGTGGATCCATCTCCTACGTTCACACGGTCACCCTGCATATATGTGCAAAAAGCATACTCTCTCCATAAATGCTTGCCTGCATGTGTAACTGAGTGGCGCATGTTCGTCCCAAAGCACTCGGTACTTACAGGTCAAACACCAAGAAGAAGAAGGTGTGAGATTCAAAGCTGTCCTTCAGCTGAACTGGAAATAAAAACACACTGTTTTAATAATGGGGGCTCGTGTTGCAACCAACTATCACCCTTGCAAACATGATATGCACTATGCTGTAAAACTAGAGTTTAATTGCTATGGCTTCTCTTTGAGGTTACTTTTAAAACTCCTACCCATTGCCTGCATTCAGACTGCTGCAGATAATATCTGCCGCTTCATGAACCTTAGGGTTGCCAGCTCTGGGCTGGGAAATTCCTAGAGATTAGGGAGGGGAGCTTGTGGAGGGTGGGTTTGGGGAGGGGAGTGACCTCAGCAGGGTATAATGCCATGGAATCCACCCTCCAAAGCAGCCATTTTATCCAGGTGAACTGATTTCTGTCGTCTGGATATCAGTTGTAATTCCCGGATCGGTTGCAATCTCCGGGCCCCACCTAGATGTTGTAGCAACCCGAACTGCAGGGTTAGGAAAGTCTAGTAACAAATAAATATACACTGCAAGAAACCTTTATAAATTAACGTGTTATATTTGTAATGATCATTCTATAGAGTACATAGTGTGCTATTATTACATCCTTATCAGGTACATGTATTCATTCAGTTTAACAGCTACCAGTCAATTTTGCTTGACTTTTTAAAATATTGATGCGAAATTGACCAGTAGTTGTTAAACTGAATGAACTGAATACATGTACCTGATAAGGATGTAATAATAGCACACTGTGCACTTTATAAGGAGCTGCGGTGGCTCAAGTGGTTAAGACACTGAACTGCAGGCTGTGGAAGGTTGGTAGTTCAGCAGTTCGAGACCCGAGTGCGTCGCATGATGGAGTGAGCGCCCGTCTATAGTTCCAGCTCCTGCCAACCTAGCAGTTCGAAAGCAAGAAATTGCAAGTAGATAAATAGGTACCACTTCAGTGGGAAGGTAACAGCGTTCCGTGCGCCTTGGTGTTTAGTCATGCCGGCCACATGACCACGGAAATGTCTTCGGACAGCGCTGGCTCTTCGGCTTTGAAACGGAGATGAGCACCGCAACCCTAGAGTCGGATTTGACTGGCTTTCAAGCAAGGGAACCTTTACCTTTACCTATGCACTTTATGGAATGATAATTACAAATAGAAAACGTTAATTTATAAAAGTTTCTTGCAGTGTACATTTATTTGTTACTAGATCCACCTAGATGTTAGCAGCCCTAACTAACAGTGAATTAAGGTTTTCTAATGAGGCTCTGAATGTCGCCTTTTGTGCATCCAGGTTATCATGCACAAGGAACAGGGCTGCCCCAGTGGCTTGGAATGCCCCCTGCCTTTTGCATGACTCTTTGAGGAAACTGACAGAAACATTCTTGTTCCTCCAGACTTTTGACAGGGAGGTCTTTCGTTTGGCTGCTGCATGTAGATCTGCTGATGGATTTTTTTTAAATGTTAGTTTTAGTGGGTTACATTCTGTATTCTTTAAAACCTGTATATCACTTGAACACCAATACTGAAAAGCAGGTCAGTAAAATAAAGCAAGGTCTCCTTGGATCTGTAGCTCAGAATAAACATTGGAAGCCGTAGATGCAAGACAAAAGGTATGTCTGTTCTCTCTTTAGTGGTTCCAGATCAATGGCCTCCTCTGTGTTTATATTCAGTAATGAATACCTGGTCCATAAATTATCTGTTAACCAAACATTAACTATTAACCATAAACAGACCTTGCATAGTCACCTCCAAAACAAGATTTTACTTAAACTAAATTACCATTCCAGTGATTCTTGGGGAAGCCACAGCAACAGACCTGGTTTTATTTTTATACCAGATGTCAGAATCAACCTAGAACAGCTCAGAAATCAGGACTGGCCCTGGAGTCCCCTGAAGCAGAAATTCCTAATGACTGTGCCTCTAGTAAACAATGGAGTAATTGAGAATATGCTCAAAATCTGCCACTTCGCTGGCCCGTGAGACTCTAAGAATACACGCTGATTGACAGCACAAAATAAATAAGAAATCATCATCCTAGAGTCAAGCCTTGGAACAGGCCAATGTTAATCGCATTTGTCCAGCATAGCTTTGCAAACTTTGGCTTCCCTGACTTGAGTCTGCCAACCCCTCAGCGATGAGAAACACTTCCAGAAATCACAAGACTGTGTACAAGAATGATAAACAGGCCCCAACACTTGCTAGCAATGTTTCTGCGTACCAGGAAGTACACAACAGCAAGCTGGAACAAAAAGAATAAGCACACACAAACTGGACATAGAAAACTGCAATATTCAAAAGCATTCTCAATCTACTGCGGAACTCCAACATGAAACCGATGAACTGGAATGTATCAACAGGTACTAACTGCATTAACCAAGATGGAACATTTCATAGCCACTGGAAGTTTTAAATTGCTTAAAATCTATGCAGACTCTGATATTACAGCCATTGTGAATGATCGCTATATAGTAGGGTTAGCAGCCTTCAAGGCAGAGCCTGGATTTCTCCTAGAATTACAACTGATCTCCAGACTGGCAGCTTTGGAGGGTGGTCTCTATGGTATCACATTGCCGATGAGCTCCCTTTCCAAGATACCCCTCACCCACCCCCAAATCTCCAGGAATTTCCAAAGGCAGAGTTGGCTTTTCTGGCCCTGAGAACTGAGCTCCAGGTCCCAGTTTTGTCAATGGAAAAATCCGACTTACTGACATTGGGATGTCCAGACACTTTCCGGAGGATGTCTATTTCCTTCAGAGTGGCTTCTCGCAATTCATGAATTTCTTCCGGGGACAAATTCCCAGCGGTGATGTCGATAATTTTCACAGCAAATTCTTGCCTGGTAACCTTATGGATGCACCGGCGAACCACACTGCTTACCCCTCTGGAAAATGAGACAAACAAGAGTAGCATGAGGCAAACCCATTATCCTATATATCTAAAGGGTGTACCAGTCCCACACTTTTGTCAGTAGCCATATTAAAACCCATTGTTTTGAAAAATTAAACCAGCTGCCTCCATGATTGCCAACCTCCAGGTGGGGCCAGGTATTTCCCAGCCCACAGCGGGCAACCCTCCTTGCAAGGAACGCCAGTCTCTCCAGCCCCATCCCATTCTACTGCCTCATGGTATTTCTGCACTTTGCTTTATAGCAGTTTTGCAGCCATTTTCAACGATGAAATCAGCAAGAGAAGGAGTATTTCCTGTAATCGAGAATTTGGGGGGAAAGCATATTTGCTTTAAAACCACACAAACTAAGCTTTACTCTGTATCTTGTAAAGGTGGTTAGATTGGTGGATTAGGAAAATAGGGGTTAAATACAGTTTAGCACATAAATGTCAATTTACTGCTGTTCTTACAGCAGAATACCCCCAGTTAGGTTTCTGACTATAAACTTTGGATGCTGTTTAATTACCATCTTTTACAATCAAATAAATCTATTAATTAGCCCATGACCAAAGGCAGTAAACCTCTGAAACCCAGTGCTAGGAGGCAACATCAGGGGAAGGCCTTGGCCCGTAGATACAGGACAAACCACATAAAAAGGTACTTCTTCACACAATAAACTTAAGAAACTTACTATCACAAAACATGGTGATGGCCAGGGGCTTAGATAACTTTGAAAGGGACATTCGTGAAGCAGGAGTAGTCTAATCCATGCCAGTGATGACTAACTACAATGAGGGTAGCCTACCTCCAGGACCAGGTGGTGGTTGGAGGTCTTCTGAGATTACAATTGATCTCCAGGTGACAAAAATCAGTTCACCTGAAGAAAACAACTGCTTTGGAAGGTGGACTCTATGACATAACTGATTGAAGACCCATCCCTCCCCAAACCCCGCCCTCCTCAGGCTCCACCCCCAAAATCTCCAGGTGTTTCTCAACCCGGAGCTGACAATCCTACCTACAGCAATTGAATGGAACCTCCATGTTCTGAGGCAAGGTACCTCAGAACACCAGTCACAGGAGACTCCCAACAGAGGAGAGTTGTTGCCTTCATACTCTGTTTGTGAACTTCTCGGTTGCATTTGGTTGTTCACTGTTGGAATTAGGATGCTTTTTTAAAAGTTTTATCCTGGCAGAAGCTTTTAAGCGCCATGATTGTTTGATTCTAGTGTTTGTAGATTGAGTAACACAATCTCTAGCCAAGTGGATCCATATTTTTACCTTCCCAATATCTCCTTCGGTTCATATTTCTCATAAAATTCTCCAGAAGAATGGCTATCGGGAAGTTCCTCAGTTTTGGTCATCTTTGTCTGATTTTACCGATCCCAACCTTCTTGAGGTTTATTTCAAGATGACAAAATGCTATGAGGGGAAAAAAAGAAAACAGGAAACAGTCTTCTTCGGTATGCATTGTGTACTGTAGGATGGAAGTAAGTAAGAAAGTAAGCTGGGGCATCTCAAGGCTCTCTCTAGTTCCATGTCTGCCCACAACAAATCTGCAGGGTAGGTCATTTTCCACCCTCATGGAATCATGAATCTCTTGAAAGCATTACCAAAGAATCATGCAACAGTCCCTAGCATCTGTTGCCAGCTTTCCATCTTTATAAGATGATGGATTTGAAGAATTCACCTGAATTCACCTGTTCTCTAAAAGCAATTGAAGCTGTGAACTTGTGAACACTGGAAGTTACCTTGAGCCAAGAGAGACCATAGGGAGGGGCAGCGGCTCAGTTGCAGAGCATTTGCTTGCCTTGCTGGTCCCCTGATGAGGGCAGAAAGGGAGGGTATAAATTGTGTAAAACAGATGAATAGAAAAAACCCTCTTTTGATTCTTCTCTCTTCACTGTTTTGTTGAAATGTATTTTACATGCTTCTTGAGGCAGAGGCCTTCCTTCTGCATGGATGCCCATCTATACATTTCTGTCTCAGTATTCCCCCTGGAACTCAGGGTCCCTTGTCCCTTTTATCCTCACAACAACCCTGTGAGGTAGATTAGGCTGAAAGAGAGAGTAGTTGGCCCAAGATCACCCAGCAAGCTTTATGGGGATTTGAACCTGGGTCTTTCAGATTCAAATCTGACACACTAACCTCTACCACACTGGCTCACACCACCCCATCCCATTCTTTGCTCACATGTGCTGATTTTGTAGTGAAAAGAAATACAAAGTGACTGTTTTGCTATTGGCAAATTACAAAAAACAACAACAACGAAGCATTTAATTGAATTCTGAGACGTTTGCTAATATAACTGTTTCCTATAGCAATCAGTTTAATTTTAGTTCAGCCACTGCATTTTAGCTGTAACACAATGGTTCTGCCCAGGAATAGCTCAGTATGCGCAATACATCTACGGAGGTGCAGAATGTGTTTCTATTGGTGGCCAGTCAGATCATACATACGCAGAATTTGCATGCAGTGCTTCCAAGCAATGGTTAGTCTGGCCAACTGACATAGACACAGACTTTTGACCTTGATTCAATAGGACGTAGGGGCCGGTTGTGATTTCTTCGTGGCAAGAGGAAAGCACTCTGCACGTACTTAGAGGTGCTGCCATATTTCATTATCACAATACTTGCTCCTGGACCAGAGTTTGGTTATGGCTCCAACTCATCCCCATTCAGAGTCATTTTTACTACTCTTGGCTTAGAAATTAACAACTGTTATCTATGGAGCTGTGCATTTATCTTTGTTTTTACTGAACAAGCTGGATTTCTTGACCAAGAAAGCAAGCACTCACCATAACCTTTCCCTTTCAGGATCCTCTCTCTTCTCACCGATGACCAGAATGTCAGGGGGAGGAGTGTGGTGGGTAATCCGGCGGACAAAGAATCAAAGCCAAATTGGACACGTTTAGTGTCTCAGACAGACAATAACAAACGAGCCCCTTGGTCGTCTGTTAATTCACTGCCCGTCGGTTTCGCTGTGGGGACTGCAGTGCCAAAAATAAAAATTGCAATGCAACTTGGGCTCTTTTCCAAGCCCTCTGATTTGAACGCTTGACAGCCTGAAGTATTTATTGAAGAGTGACCCAGAGCTGAGGTGAACTGCAGAGGCTCACCAGCAGGCAACAGCGCAGCTCCGAGTCACTGAATAAGACTGCTAGCAGTCATGGTTACCGCCTCAAAGAGTGCAGGACTGCTTCAAATGATCAGAATCAAGTGTTCATAAACAAGAAATAGATGCCCAACAGACGTAGAGATGTGTATTCTGGGGCTCCAGGGTTAAGCCATAGCATGTGATATATGCTGCAAAACTCAGCTGTCAATTAAAAAAAATTGCTAGCCAATTTGGTGTCATGGTTAGAAGCGTGGATTCTAATCTGGGAGAACTGGGTTTTCATTCCCCATTCCTCCACAAGCAGCTGCTGGTGTGACCTTTGGTCAGTCACAGTTCTCTCAGACCTCTCTCAGCCTCACCTACCTCACAGGGTGTCTGCTGTGGGGAGGGAAAGGAGATTGTAAGCCGCTCTGAGTCCTTCAGGTAGTGAAGGGTGGGGTATAAATCCAATTTCCTCCTTCTCTTGCAGATGTGATTTGAAACCTGTGGACAGCACCTGCTTCCCAGTGATTAGAGTGTATGTGTTGGAATTCCATTCCTTGCCTCTCTCCACCACTACCAGCTGATTCAAGACAAAGGGCGCTTTCACTCGCTAATGCTTATACCCTGAAACTCTTGTTGGTCTCTAATGTGGTACTGGACTCAAATCTAAGTATATGATACATTCTCTCATGGGTAAAATAGTCCACTGTCTGCCTAAGCCAGGGGTGTTGAACTCAGTTGTTATGAGGGCCGGATCTGACATAAATGAGACCTTGTTGGGCCAGGCCATGTGTGTCATAAGATGTAATGCCAGGTAGCAGAGATATAAACTTTATAAAGGACACAAACACAAAGGGGTTTTTTTTGTGGGAATATGAGAGACTCCCATGAAGGCAAGCCCAGGAGAATCTCTCAAGTTCTCACCGGGAGATTGGCAAAATGCACAAAGGTCTTTTTGAATTTGCATGAGTCTGCTAAATTACTGAGAGCACAATGAATTACTCACAAAACTTTGCAACATTCAAGGATAATAGAGCTGTGAGAAGAACATAGTGTGATTTTTAGTTAGAAGCTTCTAAGAGTAACGATTTCACTGTGCCTTGTATGAGCCTGCTTGTTTTCTAAAAACGCTGCTGTGAGACTGTGAGAAAACAGTTTTGGTACAGAGAGAGAGAGCTGATCAGTAGCTTCAAGAAATCTGTTGTGTGGTGTGTTGTTACTGAACCCTACCAAAGTCTACATTTTTAAACTTAAAATAAAAACATGCTTAAAACATTAGAATTCTTGCAAGATTTTATTTAACAGTGTCTGATAACTGACACTTCCTCTGAATTATTGCATCAAAATATCTGTGCTGTTGCAATCTTGAGTATGCTGTTCAGGTGTGTATCTGTAAGCCGCAAACCTACGATGACACAGCAGCAGCAGAACTGGAAGAAACAGAAGACAGCCAGTTCCACTGCGGGCCTGATAGAAGCCCTCCAGGGGCCTGATCCGGCCCCCGGGCTGCCTGTTTGACACCACTGGCCTAAGCTAACCATCAGAGCAGAAATTGGTTTGTACTAAACTTTGACTGGTACAGCAGTCAATACCATAATCTTTTTTGGGACAGGGTACATTTCAAAACCCATAAGGGACACCATCGTAGAAAGGAGGACAAGTCTTCTGCAACAGAGCTAGTAAAAACCCCTTTCAACAGAGGCCACAGAAAAACTTGGCCACCATCCCTGCAACCCAGCTGCAACACCATCAGGATAACATTCTTGGGAAAGTGATGACTGGCACTCCTTCCACATTCTTACAATCAACGCATTTGCTTTCTGGGCTGATCGACACACCACCCAAGAAACTGGAAGAGTGTCTATTGAAAGAAGAGACCCTTTGAAGAAATTGAACTCAAGAAGCAGAATTATATATTTTTTTTGGGGGGGAGACACTTGTTTTACAAGTCTGGGGCATAAAGTACTGTATGATTGTGGAGACAGAGCAAGCTCCCTTAGTATTTTGACAGGTGTTTAGCCACCAGAGTTATGAGGCAGTTATGCATAAATCTGCTCTGGTATGTTGGTTTTGCTCAAGGAGAAACGGACTAGATTCACCACCGTGAGACTGCATTTGCATGACCAAATATATAAAGAACAAAAGGGCACTGCTACAGAGATCGTGCAGAACTACAAGCAGCTTTCCCCCTTTTTACCGTTTCCCATCCAGAGTGAAAACTGTTTCCAAGTTAACCCTTTCTTCGTTCAAGGGGAGAAATAATCAGTCACTGCCACAGCCAGGCCTTCAGATGAAATTGGACTATTCCCACAGCCCTTTTGCTCTGTGTGTAGCCTACTGATGCAGCCAGGTGAAACCTGCACCATCAGAAATGCAAGAGTGGTTGTGTACAGAGAAGAGCGTATTAAGGGCTGTCAAGTCATTTCCAACTTATGGCGACCGTATGAATCAATGCCCTCCAAAACATCCTACTATTGATAAACCACCTTGCTTCTTTCAGAGTCAATCCGTCTCGTGTTGGGTCTTCCTCTTTTCATGTTGCCTTCAAGTCTTCCTGGCATGATTGTCTTTTGAAGTGACTCTTGTCTTCTCATAATGGTATCCGTAAAACTCTCCTCCAACATACTAATAGGGAGGTACAGCCCAGAATTTCTTAGGAGAGTGCGAGGAATATTTGTTGCTAACCAGTTATCCTAGCTCACCTGTAGTCCTACCCACTGCTTTAACAATGCTAAAATATGAGCTTGCCCAATTACTAATGTAGCCTTGGAACGGAGGCAGGATGGGGTGGCTGGCAGTTCTGCACTGCCACACTTCCTCTCTCAAATTTCCTCCATGTATTCTACTGTTTAGGTACCAGGTGAAGAGGATGCTACATTACCAGACTTTAACAAATCTAGAAAGGCATGCATTTTGCAAATGCTGCTTCTATAGGATTCTATTAGATACGACTTTGGCTGCTTTACCAAGTTTGTTTGGTTTGCATTTATGGTCTGCTTCCATGGTATTTAAGTTTTAAGCCCCTTCAAGACCCTCAGTGGGGAAGTACAGGGTACAGAATGTTATGCTACATGCAGCCTATGTTTTATTAGCAATATATTAATGCATGTGGCTGTTCCTTCTACCCCTTTTATAACCACAAAAGCAAATCAAATTCCATCTTGTTGTAGTTTACCTAAACAAAGCCAGCTGTAGAATTTGCCCAGGCAAAGATACAGTCATCTTGTTTTCACCCCACTCCTGTAAGGATTCATCTTTGTTAACTTTTGTCCTCCTGTGGTAGATCTGAAGCCTTCTAAGGCACTGATTTCACTACCATCTGATTTCTTTTGGTACCTGGCAGGCTGTTTGGAAGAACACTTAAGATGCTTAGGTGGTAGGTTTATTCTAGTTCTACAATTTATGCAGGTCAGACTCCAGCTTTTCCTGCCCCCCATTTATTTTGATAGTTCTGTGCATTGAAGAAAACTGTAGGTGCTTGTCGTATGAGGAAGCAAGTAAGGGAAAACACTGTTCTCCATGAGGCCACCGCTTAATAGAGTTAAGGCCTAAGGCAGAAATTCCCACACCTCTTGCGCGTTACAATCAAGAGGCTGAAGAACTTAAGTCCCCCCACCATTAGTGACAGATCAGGCACTTCAGGACACGGTTTTCAGCTTTTATTCCACAGCTCAAGTCAGCACACAACTAACAGGCAGACGAGCAAGGACGGACAGCGTTGTTGATACAATCCGGAAGCCTGGTGCTCACCCCTCCACCAACAGATGCTGAACTCTGCCACTACAATCCTCTCCACGGGGGGAAGCACTCCATGCTCTTTGTGGGGGAATGGATGAACAGCTGGCCGCAAACAAATGAGAAATGCTAGACAGCTTTTTAGACTTTAAAAGAGAATTTTACTAGTGAGGCATCTTTCATTAACAGAGTTGGACTTCGCTCTGCTCAGCTCTGTTAGGCTAGACCTGTGGATTCAGAAGAACAAAAGAAGGACACCGATGAGCAGCAGACACCAATGGCCTGAGATCATTCAACGCATTCAGCAAACGACTGTGTTACCCTATCAGGCAGTGATCCCCAACACGGTGCCCGCTGGCCCAATGCTAGGTTTCCTGGTGCCCATCTGCCTCTCCCCCAAAGCAGAATCAACCTGGACTTTCCTACACATTGCTGGAACAGGAGACCAGAGAAACAACAGACTTCATAGTAGGAGGATGCTCAGCTTGCAATTTTCCAACACTTTCTGAGCGGCCCCCAGCCCTCCACAGAAACCATTTTGTGGTGACACCCACTCCCCACTCTCAAAATTCTAAGAGTGCCCACAGGCTTTGTAAGGCTGTAAAGCCCTGCAATAGGGGACAAGAAGGCAACCCTTATCTATTCAAACATTTCCAGTTCTTACAAAGGAAGTTATTAGTTCAAATTTTAGCACAGCATTCTTTCAGATCCCAAATGGTACTAGAGGCAATGACAGTAGGGCACATAGTTTTTAGTGAAGACTCCAAATAGCAGCCTGGGTACCCAGCCTGCAGGAAATACTGATGTGCCCTTACTTGTAGTCTTTGCTAGTGTTTAACCCCCACACATAGTTAACTGTAGAGAGAGCCAGAAAGGCACCAGGTTTGACTATGAAAGCTTGCCTCCAGAGTCCAGCAGTTACTGGGGTCAGAGAGCATATACTCTTCAGGAAACTGTACAGCCTTTCTAAAATAGCACCTGTTTAAGTGCAGAGCCTAAGTATTTTGGCATTTTACTAATCCAAATCAGTGCATCATTGTTATTTCTTTCACCTCTGAGCTCTACAGTGATTGGTACAGCCTGTCCCATGCCAAATATGGTCCTTACCATTTGCAAAACGGCACTGCTTCAAGACCTCGCTGAAGCCCTCACACAGCTTCAGATCCGACTGGTTCTGGGCACACTCCAGGAACTGCTTCATTTCATACTGGCAAGGTGTATATTGAGACTGCTGCGCTGCTGGCTGGGCTGTCTGCGGCTCCTGAGGAGGAAGTGCAAGAGAAATAAGATGGCAGGAGGGGTGTCTGAAGCCAGTAACTACTTGCCAGAAGGAACATGCAGCAAAAATGTAAGAATATGCGGCAAAAGTTTTAACATTTTCATTCTAAAAGCGGCAAGATTTCCCAATTCCAGTGCCTTTGCTATATTGACATCTTGCCAGCGAGGCATCCTGCTAAGTAACGAAAGCAAAATCAGTTTTACTGTACCTCGCAGGATGCTCAACATTTGGTCCTAAAGCAGCTAGTCCAGTTTATGTAGCAGTGTCCCCCTTTTTGACGAAATTAGCCAGTATTATTTTGTTCCATCTCCATTGCTATGGGAACTAGACCAACTCGTAAGCTGGCTGGCCCGTCTGGGTGATGGCAATGGCAACATCAGGCCATCGGTTAACAAGGCGGCAGCTTCTGCCTACTCAGGGGAGATGCCAGCTGTGCAGAAAAACACAACTTTTGAGGGGTTCTCGTAATTTTACAAAAAACTTCCTTGATGGAGGTGGGAAATGCTTCATAAACCTCAGGACACTGGGGGTCAGCTGAGATTCAGCTGGAAGTTTATATGTCGAGAAATCAACCTGATCGAGCAACCCTTCACGAGATTTTGAAAAGCAGAATGAGATTTCTAAGTTGTCTCCTTCTCTATGATTCTTCACAGGTCTGCAGCTTGCTTAACTCTGTTGTGTATCGCCTGGAAACTTTGCTGCCTTCATTGTCCTCCTAAAGCATTGAGGTTAAAAGCAAACCAAGAAACTTGGGAGCTAACCTACTCTTAACATCGTTTAGAATTCTGTTCTCTCTCAACACAGATTTTAAAAGTTTATTGCAGAATGGCTACAACATTTGGTGTTGTGCATTCTTCTTTCAGATTTCCAAATACCCTTGATATAAAGACAACTATGGGGCCTTATTCCAAGGAACATTTATTTCCCACTTCTGTCTTTGACACCAAAGGAACTTTCCTAAGTTGAATCCTACCAGCCAAACCTGTTGGTAACCCAAAAGAGAAGCCCAGTTCCTTGGGCAACCCATTCCTTGGACAAGGAGTGCTGGCCCAGCAACTTCCCATCATTTCTTTTTGGGGTGTGTGTTGTTGTTGGTGGTACAAGAGTTAAGTAAGACAAAGTTTGACTTGCAGTCTGTGAGAACCAGCTAAACAGAAAACAGCCTCCCCGCACTTACCTGGTAAGTGATGTCTGGCCGTGCAGCATCAGAGCCGCCCCCAAACCCTCCAGTCATTGCATGTCCTAGTGTGTGCCCCACAGCAGAGCCCACAGCCACGCCAGCAGCTGTGGTGGCCATCTGGGCCATCAGGCCAGGCTGCCGGGGAGCAGGAGAAGCCACTGCTGATGCAGGGGCAGGTGCTGGGACGGGAGCATGTGCAGCCGGTCGTGGAGCTGCTCGCATTGTTGGCGCACGGCTGTGAAGGCAAGGAAAAAATGCATTTTCAAAGCTGCCCGCCACTCACTGAGATGAGATTTAAACGGACTTCCCTGTTAAACAGGGTCCAGGACATCTAGAGATATGTTCCTATAACAGCTGACCTCACTTCAAATGCTAACAACCTTTTGCTCTATTGCCAATATAAAGTGGAACAGAAGTAAAGAAAAAGCAGAAATGTGGCCTCCCATTTAAAGAGCAGTATTATATTATTATCCTGCCCTCGCTCCAAGAAGTTCAGTGCAGCATACAACGTTTTCTCACATCTTCACAAAAATCTTGAGGTAGAGGTTAGACAGACAGCATATGACTCATGGGGGATGGGATTTGAACCAAGATCTGTCCCCGCTTCTTAATCTAAAAATTTAAATACCAAACCTCACATATCCCAGCACCTAACCTTTGCTCACATGAATGTTTACCAGCAAAACCTTACTGCATGTGGTGGTGGCAGAAAGTGCTGTCAAGTCAGACTTGATTTATGGTGACCCTGTGGGGTTTTCAAGGCAAGAAACGAACATTGCCATTTTGCCTGCCTCTGTGTAGCAATTCTGGACTTCTCTGGTAGTGTACCATCCAAGTACTAACCAGATCCCAAGTACCTTCACTACCCAAAGGAGTCTCAGAGTGGCTTACAATCTCCTTCCCCTTCTCCTCCCCACAACAGACACCCTGTGAGGTGGGTGGGACTGAGAGAACTCTTTCAAGAACTGCCCTTGAGAGCTCTGAAAGAACCTGTGACTGACTCGAGGTCACACCAGCAGCTGCATGTGGACAAGTGGGGAATCAAACCCGGTTCTCCCAGATCAGAATCTGTGCTCTTAAGTACTACTCCAAACTGGCTCTCAGGGTTAGGTTCTGAGATCTGATGAGACAGAGAAAGCCTGAGCCATCCAGGTCAAGACTTAACTGTGTCTACCGACTTTTAATAAAAAGCAGAGGAGAATCTTAGGGTAGGATCACATGACTATGAGTAATCCCCCATGTGCAAACAAGGAGGGGGTGCACACCTGTGCGAACCATACAGAACATCTGCCTATGTTCATGTGAATCTAGCCCCTTAAAGACTCGCAGTTTGCCTCTCCTTATTGGAACACATAATTGTTTTTTGAAATCTGCATGACAGAGCCACTATTCAAGCCACAAACGGGGATGCATACACGTTTCCCTTCATGTTGATCAACAACAAGTGTGCTTCTCATCACAGATGGCTCAGATACTCCTTGCAAGAACCCCAAAATTCATTTTTTTTGCCTTTTTTTCTCTCTAGAGAAGAGAGATACCTGTAACATTTTACCAGGAATATGCCCTTAAGACCAGCTCTTTCAAGCAGCCAACAGAAGACGTTACAAAACAGATTGCCTCTTTAAACTGGTTAAATATTCACAGCCTGTTACCCAACTGCCTCACTCATCAGGACAGAGAAAACATTAAACAAATGCAAGAATCTTCATGTTTTTAAACAGGAGGCCACGTTCCTGCTTTTTTATCACTTCAGTCTCGACAGTGGGCTGAAGGCAGATGTGAGATCAATACCAAGGCTAAGCAGGTATGGCCCTATGAACTTCCTACAAAGGAGACGGCTAAGGAATCATAAACTGTTGGATGTATAGTGATGCATGCATGCAATGCAGATAAATAAGAACCAATGCAGAAATCTGATTGAGAAGTTCTGTTTATTAACAAAGAGAAAGATACCAAAGACAAGACACCTCATAACACCCAGCCACTAGTACCACTAATACTGAGCTCTGGAGGTCCAAGCCATATTATCTGTTTAAGGCAAAGTACAAGGCTTGCTGTGTTTTTAATCAATGCAGCATAGTTCTCTCCTGGAGCAAAAAACAATTATCCTAGAAGGAAGAGAGTTAAAGATCAAGATGCTCATCTCTGTCTTCCTCCCTTGACTCCCCTTTTGGCCTTCCCTATTGGGAGAACTGCCTCTCCCAATAAGCCCTTCCAAGGCAAGGGTTTGGACAGTATGGAGAACAGCCCTGCAGCCTACAAGGGTCCAAAGCACTTCCATGTTCCATTTCTGGAAGTGCCCATACAATCCCAGCACCAGTTCTAGCATCACCTGCCCAGCAAAAATGTACCAAACATTTTAAAATGCAGATATGATCAGCCTGAGGAAGCCTCATGTAACATTGATTATTATTTATTTAGAGCATTTTTATGCCACTCTTCCTACAAGGAGAGTTAGGCCATACATGGTTCATCACCTTCTCAAGAACACTGTAAACTGGTTAAACTGTGCAAGAAAGACTGGCCCAAAGTTACCCAGTAAGACTGATGGCACCCAAGGATTTGTACCTGAGTCTCCCCTGATCTAACCAAACACTAACTACAACAGCACACTGCCTATTAATAAACACCCCTTCCCCACACACTGCTGCAAGTTCTCTATTCTCTTTTTGAGTGCCCCTCAAATGTCTTCATCACCCCATTTCTGTTCCCTTCACCCTTTACTTCCCTTCCAGCTATTCATCATTTAACACTCAGCCACCACGTTTTGCTACTACCATATTCAGAGCTTTTTGTGTGGAAAAAGCCCAGCAGAAACTCATCAGCATAATAGGCCTTCCCTTGGCTTGTCCGAGCACCCTGTGGCTGCAGGGAGCCCGGGCAAACTGGCCCTTGGACAGGCTGGGGAAGGCACTTAAATGCCTCCCCGATCCTTCCAGGGAGCCCCCTGGCCTGCCTGCCTCGGAGTCGCCGGGGGTCACGCTCCAGGCCTTCCCTTTGTAGCCAGGCACGCAGAGGGTTTGGCTGTAGTGGGCGTGGCCAACTCTGAAGCCAGCCGGAACTCCGTTCCCGTGCGTTCCTGCCCATAAATAGCCCTGACCACACTGATGCACACGGAAAAGGAGGAAAAGGCAACACTGTCCAATCCTACGCTTCTTTACGCAACGGGAGGCTCCACTCTGGTCAACGGGCCTACATTCCAAAATTTAGGAGTGGATCCTACCACTCCGCTGAGCACAGTTGCTTTACTAAAATAATTAGACCCCACGTTTACTTTTTGCTCCTGTTCGAACCTTTCTCCGTTCCAAGGAGCTTTCCCCCAAATTAAATAGCTCTTCCCTTGGAAGAAGAGCCACTTTTAGTTAGAGAAAGACTAGTTGGAGAGTGGTTGGGATCCCCCCCAATGAGAACTACAGCCATGCTGGGCCTATTTCGTCAACAAACGCACAACGCACCCCCCGCTTTCCCCCTTTTTAACTCAAAACACTCTGGCGCCCCCATGCCTTTACCTGGCCGGCGGGGCCATGCGGGAAGTCCGGCTTCGGCTTCCTCGAGGCATGACGACGGCAAGAACCTGGATCCTCGACTCGCTTCTTCTCTCCGGCTTCCTCACCTCCGCCGAGACGTGCGTATTTTCCTGCTTCCGGTCCGCCTACAACCCCTTCCCCCGCTTTCTTCTCAAGGTCACGCGCAAAAAGAACTCCACCTTGCTTCAGCTGCGCCTGCGCGTTTTAACACCGCCATGCGCCGTGAAAGACGGATGAAGTGACGCATTGACCCCGCCCCCATGTGAGAAACAGGCGGGACGAGGGCGATGACGAAACGAGAGGCGGGGCCTGGCTCTACCTTCCCCTATTGGAAATAGGAGGGGCTACGTTCGATATGAACATAAGAGGGGCAGGAGGGTTTTAGCGCCATCTTTTAGGCCAATTTAGTGTGCTTTTATTGTTTTAAAAAGTACACCGACGTGAGTCTTGGCAAGGGGAGGGTGGTCTAAAATCTAATGAAATAAATTAAACAAGGTTAAGCAATGCTCCCTCTAAGCTGTGGAGTCTTGTGAGCAAAAATTCTACTTTGTGAGCTGCTGGCATTAAAGCTGCGAGCGAGCCATTTGGCTGCTGCATAAATTAGTTTGCTCTGAGCAAATTCAAAAAGGTGTGAGCCGGAGGCTAAAAAACTGTGAGCTAGCTCACACTAACTCAGCTTAGAGGGAACACTGGTTAGGAGACAGGAATTTGAAGGGGAATGGACTCAGTCGGGAGGGGGGGTAGGTAATAAGGGGAACCCAGCTTAAAGGCCAACTTCTGTTTTCTAACCTTGGCTTCCTCCTCCTATTGCAGCTTCTGTCCAGCAGAGAAACCAGGCTGGCGAAGCTTTCTCTGTCAGAACCAGATACAGCCTTACAGGGAAATGTCCCAGTGGGGGCATTTGAACAAACATAAATAAAATGATTCTCTGATCCCAAGAAGCCCAGAGGCAGCACTGAAACATGTAATTTCATTTCAAATTGTGTATCTTCTCAACGTTCATCTCAGTTCTGTTCCTCTCTCTAGAGGAGTTACTAGGCTGCAAAACAGTCGAAATGACTTTCAAATCGATATGCATAAGATCATGCTGAAGTCGTCTGGGACTGAGACCTAATTTACACCTGCTCCTAAACACAGTGTGGGGATGCCTGCTGCAGGCAGAGTCAAGGTGACAGGCAGCTCGATTCTAAGAATGTTTGGCTGGTACTATTATTCTTGTAGGTATTGCCTTTGCACGCATGTGACCAAACCAGGAGTAGCAGATAGTACTAATGTCACCATGGGGCTGAGCCAAGTGCCGCCATTGTAAGTTGGCTGATCTGCAGGGTTGCCAGCTCCAGGCTGGAAAATTCCTGGAGATTCAGCAGGCAGAGCCTGAGGAGAGTGGGTGTCAGCAAGCTGCCAATGAACTCTGTGTAACCTTGTACATCAATCTCTGCCCTCCCTGGCTTTCCCTGACCCCACTGCACATGTATGTTACCAGCAGCCTGCAATCTGCATTCCTTCCTGTGTACCAGCTTTCTTCATTACTTCAATAAATACTTCTTTGCTATAAACGTGTATTGGATTGAATGTGTGGAGGATTCGGACAGCGGGGTTTTGGGAGGGGAGGGACTTCGGCAAGGTATAATGCTGTATAATCCACCTTCTAGAGCAGCCCTTTTCTCCAGGTGAATTGATCTCTGTCACCTGGAGATCAATTGTAATAGTGGGAGATCTCCAGCCACCATCTGGAGGTTGGCAACCCTATGATTTGCCCCAACGTCTGTCCTTGTAAATGCCAGTTGCTGGGGGAGGAGACAGAGATAAAAAGATGACAGCTATTGCTTCCATGCCCTGCTCGTGGGTTCTCTTGAACTGAGTTGGCAACAGGATGCTGGATGAACCCACACTGATCTGATCCATGAAGCATTCTTATGAACTTAAAACAAGGAGAAACTCAGAATTTGGGGCTTTCTGAGATTAACTTTCACTCTTATAGGCTCTTAAATGTAATTTTTTGATGCAAGGATGAAGGGGGTTTCCTATACTCATTCAGAAATAACCTTTCAGAAGACTGGAGCACGGAGCTTTAGAGTGATGTCAGAGTGTTGCATTTCAACACATACTTTGATTTTTGTCATCTCGGGAACAGTTCCCTTTGGAAAGCTGGCTGGCAAGTATTTTAAAAACATGATTAAAATAAATATAAAATATAAATAGATGCGACAACACAAGAGGATGCTGGCCAGGCGCCCTGTGTTTTGATGTTATTGAACAGACAGGGTTCCTTGTTTGTTCAAAGGAACCGGGCATTTGTCTAGAGGACAAGGAGGACTCAGAAGTGTAAATCCTGCAGTAGGGCAGATCCAGGTGGAGGTTTCTTCAGCTGCAGAGCAAGGTTTTCAGCCGTCGGTTGTTTCTGCAGCCTGCAACAAACCAAAAGATACCTGGCGTGATGGCAGGCCCACGGATCATCTAGGCTGGCACTGTTAATTCTCACTGACATGTACCCTCTGGGATTTAGTGGACCCACAGATTCAGAGCTCTTCTGCCTTGCAGGAGTCATGGCACATACCTATGCAGCTAAAGAGGGAGTTCTGTTTTCCCTTTACTGAGCTAGATATAAACTGGCCTTTGTGCTGTCCTACCTAGAGACATTACTATAGGCCCAACCTGAGTGGCACACCTGAGTGGGGTGTGGCAGTTCTACAGTCATAGGGGTGGACTTTGCCCATAGAGGTCCACTACTGCATGAAGGGTAACTGATGGCAGTGGGGGATGTTATTGACGAGGATGGGGATGGGGTTGTACAGGGGAGGGTGAATGGAGCTGCAAACCGGGGCATATATATTTTTTTTACAGATTGTAGCATTCTATTACTAGGAAATGTGTTATTGTGTATGAGGTGGAGGGGAAAATTAGACTGCGATCCTCAGCAGAGTTACACCCCTCTAAATCCACGGAAGTCAATGGGTTTTGAAGGGCATTACGCTGCTTAGGGTAACACGATAGCCATCCTGAATGGAGCGAGGTGATGGGGTGGGAATATGTGTGTACTAACTGCATTTGCTGAAAGGGAGAACACTTTAATGCATGAATGAGATCTGGACTGTTCTCTCCATGGATCTAACCTGTGTGTGCAGGGAGGGGGATAACTGGAGCAGGTGCGTTTCCAGGGAAATGACAGTGGCGCATCTGTTGTGTGTGTGTGTCTATTGTGTGTGTTCCCTGGAAGTATGGGGAAGACTCAAAGGAGAACTAGTGATGGGGGGGACAGCTGCATCACTGCATAATGGTAGTAGTGGGGTTATGAGATCTGTAGTGGCAGGTGTGCTATGAGACCGTTAACCATTGCATTCTTGGAAAGAGGGGGGGCACTGATCCAATGTGAAGGGGCTTTGCATAATTGGGCAGATGTTCCCTGAAAAGCGGGAGGAATATAGGGTTCCCAGCGCCCCCCACGGCCACTAGTGGGGGATGGGAGGAAAGGGTTGCCAAATCCAGGTTGGGAAACGCCTGGAGATTTGGGGATGGAGCCCGGGGAGGGCAGGGACCTCAGAAGGATACAAGGCCACACAGTCCATCCTCCAAAGCATCTATTTTCTCCAGGGGAGCTGATCTCTGTAGCCTGAAGATGAGCCGTAATTCCAGGGGATCCCCAGGTCCCACCTGGAGGCTGGCATCCCTAAGGGGAAGAACAACTATTGCACGGGCAGGAATTTTTTAAATAAACAACTGCCCTCAAGCGGACCCCTCCTGGTGAGCTTAATGACATGGAATGGGGGCTAATGCACCCCAACGGGCACGCCCAAGCACTGGGGGTCCTCCTGCTGTAGGAACCCGAGCGCACCTTCGCTTTGCCTTTGGCCGGCCCCCTGGTTCGCGCCCCGCCCGTCCTCTGCTGCCTGCGGCGCCGCTTAGTCTGGCTGGCGCGGATCTTGCTGGCGATCTTGCGCTCGTGGCCGGCGGGGACAGGCCAGTTGGTGAGCTGCTCCCTCTCGCGGCGGCTGCGGCCCTTCCCACCCGAGCCGGGGCCCCGCGGCCCGCCGCGAGCCACCGCCTCCCGCAGCTCATCCGCCCGCTCCGCCTCTACGTCCGAAACCAAGGAGGAGGCCGACTCCTCCGGGGCGACAGGCAGGGCCTCGGCAGGTTTGGTCGCCGCCCTCGTACGGCTCCGCCCGCGCCCCATGCCCGCGCCTGGTCGCCGCTCTCCGCCGAAAGTGGCCTGCGGCGGCGATCAGAGACGGCCCAGGGTCTCCCCGCTGGCGGTGGCGTCATAGAGCAGCACGTGGGCACGGCGCGCATCCTCCTGGGTTGCCCTGGCAACGAGGGCCTAGCGGTCGGGTTTGCAGAGTTACTTCTGTCTAAGCCCCTTGTTGCACCGTGGAGCCACGGTGCATTGAAAAAAGCGACAAAATGATAATTTAAAAATACCTCCTAATAGGACACACACACCCCGAAGAATGGTGGGAATTGTAGTTTGGTGAGGGGGCTAGGAATCCTGTGAACTCAGTCTTTAATAAAACGGCCCTTGACCAGCTCAAAACATAACAGAATTCGTATACTCAAAAGTTAAAAATACTTTAAAAGTTAATCAACTCCCACATACGATGACTATGATGTTTTTTAAAATTACAATTATAACATTTCTTCTGATAATATTATTAAAATATTTAAATCTTCATTAACTGATGAATCTTACAAGCTGCCACAAAGAACGTCACGCTACCCACTCTAACCAGTGTGTTTTCTTCTATTAACAATCGGGTATACACTGATTCTAAATGACCATGGCTAGGGATTCTGTTAAGAGGCCAGTGAGCTCCGTACAAACACACTTGGAATTACTGCAAATACAGCTGCAATCCTATGGATTTATCAGACTGAGGAAATGCAGTTTAAGCCTGGACTGTGGATTGTTATTGCAGAAATCATGCATAGGGATGCATAGGGATGCCAGCCTCCAGGTGGGATCTGGGGATCCCTTTGAAATTACAACTCATCTCCAGACTCCAGTGCCCCTGCTGCTTTGGAGGGAGGATTGTATGGTACTGTACCCCACTGAGGACCCTGTCCTCCCCAAATCTCCAGGAGGTTTCCAAACCTGGAATGGGTAACCCTGCACCCATCACCTGCGGGGGGCTGGGGGGAGGGACCTTGCAACCTTAATCACACACCGACAGGGGTCATTTCCTGCAG